TATCATTATTGTTTCATCATCATTATTATTATTATCGTTATCGTCATCATAATCATCGTCACTATTATCATCATAACCATCTTTTCTATTAACATCATTATTATTATAATCAAATTATCCTCATTATCACAATCGGATCTGTTACCAAAAATAGATTATGATAATTATCATTATCATAATATTCAATATCATTACTATCATTATTCTTATCATAAACCGAGTCCACCTCATCTATTACCTATTACGTTTATTTTTTATTATCTTATTATCTTATCTATTATCTATTAGCATTAGTATCTTATCTATTACGAGAACATATTTACACCGCCCCCCCCCAAAAAAAAATGATAATGATAATGATAATGATAATAATAATAATAATAATAATAATGATACTACTACTAATAATAATAATAATAATAAAAAATAATAATAATGATAATGATAATAACAATAATGATAATGAATAATAATGATAATAAATAAAGACAAATAAATAGATTACAGGCAAAACAAGGCTAGAGAATAACACCATTTATAAGGAACCGCCAAGAGAAGTGAAGGAATGAAGGAATACCTGAAGTGAGTAATGATAAAGGAACAATTAATCTTTTTTTTCACAGGTCTTAATGATATAAGATTATTAGTCTGTTGATTAGATAAGTGAGCTTTGGCCGATGAGTAATACAAGTTGGAAAATAGTGTGATATGTATAGTAAGATCTGAGTGGGTGATACGTTGTCTATGATGAATAAAATGTCCTTAACGAAAGGGAATTTAATTGATTTAATTAATTATAATGAAATAAAATAGATTGAAGTTGTTGATAATTTGGGTAATAAGTAAATACGAAATTACAGTTCCTAGCGGTTAGTTGAGGTATATTCGTAATCAATATAGTTAACAGTTATAATAGTCGATATGATTAACATAATCCAAATTATTTCCAGTAAGTGCATAACCCATTTTGTATAATGTATACGATGGTATGCAAATTACTAAGGGTTGAATAAACTACCCTAATTTGAGGGATAGGTGATCGGCAAATAGAATTTCTATCCACTAATCTATGAATGGATTTTTTTTTTCTGATTATTTCACGTTGGAGAATGGAACGAATGAAACTTAAGAGATGTTGAATGATTGAAAGACGTGTTATATCAAAGTGTTTATCCAAGATGATGTGTATACAAGCAAATAAATATAGAGTTTTTTCTCTCTCCCTCGCCTTTTCTTTCTGTCTCTGTCTCTCTCTCTCTCGCCCTCTTGGCTTCTCACCTTCTCGGCCTCGCCCTCTCGCCCTCTCTCCCCCTCTCTCTCTCTCTCTCTCTCTCTCTCTCTCTCTCTCTCTCTCTCTCTCTCTCTCTCTCTCTCTCTCTCTCTCTCTCTCTCTCTCTCTCTCTCTCTCTCAAACACACACACACACACACACACATCGTTTATCAACAGATATATGCATCACATACTCCGCATATCAGTGTTCTTAGTCGGGAAGGCCAAACGAGGATCGTGGAGGGCCAGTAACGCCCCATGCCCTACTGGGCGAGCGGCCGGAATGCCCACTGCGCCAGGCATCGGAGGTGTGGAAGATGAAGTAAGATGTAATAATAAGGTGTAATAAAGTGATAATAGCGCCCCCTGGTGAGCGCGAGAGGCACATAACTCGGGGACGTCAGCCCGCGCGAAGCCAATATGGCGGACGGCAATGGACTCAACCCACAGCCGGCGCTCGACCCCGCGTTTCTGTTGTTTTCGGTTCGTTTCCAGCGAATTTCGTTTCGGTGTGTGGTTTCGAAGTTCGATTTTTGATATGCAGATTAATTGGAGTGTTTTTTTCGTTCAATATAATCGAGGAAGTAGGTTTCTTTTATATCAAGTCGTTGGTATTTAACTATTTTTTGGCTCGGGATAACACTGATTTTTCTAATATTTTGAAACCCGTCGAACGAAGGAAAAGGCTAACGCGAGCAAAATTCTCAGAGACCAGATAACAAGACTTATTACTTGTTCATTAAGACAAAGGTTTGCCAGTTACACCAGTTTAATTACAAAGGCTAAAGTACGTCTCAATTCCAGCCACCGGTTATGGTAATATCAATAAAACAGTACACTCCCACAGCTGTTACGTATATACGGCGGGGCTCTCTCGGAGGGGCTCTGTTGGAGGGCTCTTTCGGAGGGCTCTTTCGGTGGGCTCTCTTGGAGGGGCTCTTTCGGTGAGCTCTCTTGGAGGGGCTCTTTCGAAGGGCTCTTTTGGAGGGGATCTTTCGAAGGGCTCTTTCGGTGAGCTCTCTTGGAGGGGCTCTTTCGAAGGGCTCTTTTCTTGAGGGCTTTTCGGAGGGAGGGCTCTTTCGATCTTCGAAGGGCTCTTTCGGAGGGAGGGGCTCTTTCGAAGGGCTCTTTTGGAGGGCTTTCGAGGGCTCTTTCGGAGGGGATCTTTCGAAGGGCTCTTTCGGTGAGCTCTCTTGGAGGGGCTCTTTCGAAGGGCTCTCTTGGAGGG